ATAAAATTAATTAAGTTAGTTGGAATCATAGATCAATGATTGGAATAAAGGAATTCATATATTTAGATATAAACCATGAGTTTGTTTGAATTTTGAACTTAATAGATAACATTGACGACTTGAATGCTCATATAAATACACGTATAATTAAAAATTAATATTTTTCTTGTTGTGTCTTACGTGTAAAGACCACTAACGTGACATTGACGAAATTGTGTAAACACATATATTAGAAAAGAAAAACTGAAGCACGTAAATCTTAGCCAGTGCTTAGTAAGACATTATCTAACTTTTTTTTAAACAAATCTGCATAAGCTATACTTAAATTAGGCAATTTCTAGTTAATTTTTCCAGTTAGTGAAAACGGGTATGAATATTGTAATTGCTATCTAACTTAAGACATGGTCAAATCTTTATGGAAACATCAACAGTTTACCGCACAGCACCCAATAAACCACATTATGAATGCAAAATTGATCAAATATAATAAAAATACTTATTTTTGTTTTGGTTTTCAGGACTAGACAACGCTATTATGTTTAATATATTAACATACATGCTGAGAGCACGGAACAGAAAGATTAAAATCTATCGTTCCTCAGTATCACACTGATATGTTATATGTACAGTAGCAAAATGAAAAAGTTCGTCACGAATTCCTTTAAAGTCGCGAGCACTTATTACCTTATGGAACAAAATCACAAAACATAATGAATAATAATGCTCCATAGTAACTGTTTTTCTTTCCAAATTTTTCTTTTAAATTTTATCTTTGTATTTACGAATAAAATATCCCGTTTTTGTTTTTTTTATTTAGTTTACTTAAAAATTACATAATATGGTATTTATATGTTACTATTGACATAACGTTGAAATCAAATAAAATTTACATTGAAATTATAGAGCAAATAATTGCATACTATTCTTGGTCATATTCATATTGATTAATAGTATGGATTATTAAGCTGCTGCAAGCAAAATTCGACTTTATGATAACGAATCTTTTCATTCCCCTAATATACTTAGTCGCGTCGAGATGTTTCATGCTGAAATTTTAACACCTAAAATTGGTACAATCATAATTTTGAAATATAAACTTACTTTTTACAATGATCAAAAACGGCTATATCAAGATATACACATTTACACACATTCAATGTTGACATAAGCACCGTCACATTTCCATAATGGTCTTACCTAAAGATCTATACAGATGGGTTGGAATAGCTGCCTGTTCTCTTGGACCTGGGTCAGGACCGGACAGGAATCCTTGAACTAATTGTCTAATTTCAAAATCAATCACAATCCAAAGATATATCGATTGGGATAGCGATTTATGGAATTATGTAACTATAACCTTTTGATGCGTCTCTATGGTAGGCGATAACAGACTAGACTTCTCCCCCACAACACATTGGGAGCAAGACTTGGAAAAATTTGTGTTTATTCCAAAACAGGGGGCTAATCATCTTATTTTAAAATCTATCGCAACCCCTTTCAATTCGACATTTGAAAGATTATCACGATGTTCACGCTACAACTGTTTGACATCGCTAGTACGGTAGAACGATAAGAGATTGGAATTGTCTAAGCAAAACAATAAATGCTGAAAAGCTATTGAGAAATGGCGCACGAAAGCATTGGATGCAAACTGGAATGTTTTTACAAGTTTACCTAAGTTTTTATTGTTTCTTGATCATTTAATCATCATTCATTCCAAAAGCTATTGCTACTTCAAAAGTCACTTATTTCTAGTTTTAAATTTACACAATCTCTTTACCTTTGAAAGGGGCTACACAATTAGTACACCGATTTGCACTTGATCAGGACCGATAGAAAATGTTAACGTTAATGCAGTGAAAAAGGTAACCCATCTGTTGTTGTCCCGTATCTACCTCGTATACGGATATATTCATTAGTTTACTTTGTATCATTCTGATCCTTTAATGTCAGAACAATCAATACTATATTTGTCTCGCTCTACCAATCGACGTTTCTAAGCATAGAGAAGTATAAACGATAAAGAATGACAAAAAAAAACACATTTTTACACAATTATTGATATACACTGATTTTTACGAAAAATTAATTACATAGAAATACATTCATAACGGCATATTTTCAAATTCATTTAAACATAGTACAATGATATGCTAAGAAAATAGAGCTTCAGACAACATCTATCAATACTGTTACATTTCAAACCACATAGCCGGGGAAAAAATAATTTTAAAGCTGTAGAAACTCTGTGGAATCTGTCGTGGCTTTACAAATACTATTATTGAACTCCTTTTAAACATGGTTAAGTGCGCTAATATGTTAACTCAATCAAATTATGTTAACCCGTGTGCATCCACTCGGCCATGGAGCGCATACATATACGACGAATCCGTAATATCGTCGTATTTCTTATCAAAACTTCACGGGGCTACTTTGAGTCAACGAGAGAACGTAGTGACTTGAACATGAATTACTTGATGACACAAAGAATCATCCCAGATAGCATGCTAACTTGGGGCAAGTTTGATTTTTCTTTGATTCTAAATTGCTGCGTCAAATATACGAGGCAAGTTTGTGACAATGTCGCTGCAATATTGTTATGTTAAATATGAAGTTTCAAGTTTGCGACAATATTGTTTAAATATTGTTATGAGAAAGATACAGTTCATTTAATGCATCGCGATATCAGTTTATATTGTTAGATTGTATAAGTAATATGCCGTTTAATGTGATCTTAATATGGGAAACGCAACCAACCGTTCCAGTTAATCACTTCTGCTCCCAGGCCAGGCTCTGTGCTGTGGTCTGAGTTTAAAGTCGCAATCGCTTTTGGACTAACGGTTTTGAATGATCAAAAGATTAATAAAAACTTAGTAAACTTAAAAGTAATATTTGCCTCGAAACCTGTATTCCAGGTATTCGAGTCACTACCTACCTTTGATACGTCAAAGGTAGTGCAAGTTTGTCACACTGAAACTAGAAAGTTGGATTTAAACTTGCTGCAAATTGCTGCAGTTGTCATGGCAAACTTGAAGCAAGTCTTCTTTTTTGATGTATCAAACTTGTTGCAAGTCAGAAACAAGTTTAAATAGCTATCTGGGATGCCAAGTTACAATCTCTGAAAACTGCTAATTATTCAACAATCAGTACTGTTAAAAAATAAACACTGGTCGAGTACATTTATTGAGATGGGTAGTGCTGAAATAACACAAAGTTTTTGTTGTTTTCGATTATTATGTTTGACTAAAATACTATTATGATCTCCAAAATAAGTAAATCTGATTTCATTAAAGATAAATATATCTAATATCTCATTTCATAATTACTTTTGGCGATGTTTTCAAAATCATCCTTTCCTTTTTGGTTTTCACGTTATTACAAAGTAATGCAATTTTATTTCATATTTATTTTTGTTTTCCGTATCAACATATTTCGAAAATTCTTGTTAAAAATTAACAACCTATTATTTATTTATTCATAAATTAATAATTTATCTCTTGCATGTTATGCCATCAATAGTTTCTATTTTCAAATAAAGTCGCGCGAGTATTGTTTAGACAAGGTTCCAGCGCATTAGTAATTTGCGGGACTTACAGCACGCTTGTCGCAGAGAGAATTTCGTACAATCACCCGGCACTACATATCTCTTTCATTCGTGCGCAAAAATATTGCTGTTGCTCTCACACAGATGTATGTAGCCAATTTTGCCATAGTAAAGTGAATCTAAAATGTTAAGATGTATGTAGCCAATTTTGCCATAGCAAAGTAAACGTAAAATGTAAACGATATTAATATAGTACGCATAAAGGTCAACGTATGAAATTCTTTCTGTTCAGTGACCGTCCTATACAGAGTACAATTAACAAATTCTATTTGTGACTAAAACAAACCCTTCTTTTCAGTTTCCATAACAATATAACTTATTAATAAATATCGTTTCACAAATGAAGATATCAATATATTAATAAGCATTCGCACACACGTTAAACGCATAAGCAGTCTTAGTTACAGACAAATACTTATATTCAGTTACCAAATCGCGTCTTAGACAAAAATACCTAAGTAATATGCTTATCTTGAATTTTAACATAATTAAATAAATTAGATTACACTCAAATTTAATGGCGAACATATCGTATTACTATCGAAAAGAAATTACTTGGACAGAATTCCTCCATTGGAATTACAAAATATGAGCTGTATTGAACTATTAGATAGGCATCGCATATTATTACGTAATGATCTCAAGCCCTAAGTACGCATAACCCTAAAAAAACAACATAAAAACATATTCCATAGTACGCATATTAACATCAGGAAAAAAAAGAGCAATAGAGCATATTACATTTTTGAACTCAACTGATTCAGTATACCCGTCGAGTTAAATTATAAAAAAACACATAGACTAAATTGTGTATAAAGCGCAGCACGTAAGTTGAACCAAACGGTTACTGCGCAGTAGCACATTATCGGTTCTCAATCGAGGTGTTACCACAGCAACGCAGTATACCGGAAATCGAACATCGCCGTTTTGGATCAACTTACGTGCCGCATATTTTATCTAGGTTTTTAAAAATGTAAGTTTACTCTTTCTTTACGTTTCTTAATACTGGTATTAGTAGTATTATTATTATAATGTCTTTAATGTCACAGATACTTCACTTTCTTTGCTTAATTAGAGCTACAGAGAAAAGGCGACGGTCAATGGGATTGACGACGAATTTTTGTTCGTTTGCTCGTCAGATAGATTGTTGAAATATATTTAACACGTATTTTATATTGTAATTATAAAATTATGGCGATAAATCGAGTCAAAATGTCAGATGACGTCATGATTTTGTACGTTTTCTACAAAACTGCGACATAGCGAGCTCCCACTCCTCAACTTTTACGCCTGTTATCTAAGCTATTTCTCGTATAATTGAAGTAAAATAAAAATACGTATCTAATATTTTTCTATTATCTGACTGACAGACTAAATAGAATTTTCTTTTTTTTTTACCCAGTCGTCTTCCCTGTTGATATGATGATGATGATACAATATAAAATCAACAGTTCTTAATTTGATTACTGCAATGCAACTTCATCAACATAATAAATGCTGTTTTCAAATTCTTGTATTTCACCAAATACGTGTAGATTTCTTGGCTGATTTAAGTGACATAATGTAACCCCTGGAATATTTTACGATCTCACAGCTGCTCCAGGCGTATTTCCAGCATCCATTGATTGAAAATAAACATTTACTCCATCTCAAAAACATTGATAAGCGCGCGACTCACACCATTGTCCAAAACACTGATCTTGTTTAACATTTTTGTTAAAGTAGACTCTGTTCCACCATTATCTTCTCGTATCCAGGCGGAGGCGGATATAAGAAATTATCTAAGTTTATATCTAGGATCGCTCCGTCATCAACTGAAAATAATCATATTATTTTTTTTACAATCATTATCATCATCACCAGCCTATTAACGTGCCTATAAATGAATGGAATCAAATCAAATAGGGAGAAACGGACATAACCCACCACGTGGGACCAGTGCGGAATGGTAGGTATTAACGACTGCAGATGCAGCCGGGACTAACGAATTAATGTGCTTTCTGAAACACGGAGGAGTTCGAGATAATAAATTTTTGGTCACCCGTCCTATGACCGGCCATTACGAAAGTTGCTTGACAAAATTTCTTAAATTAAAACAATTAACACGTGGAATAACTATTGACGGATTTTAGAGGCAGCAAATTAGGGTTTAAATTTTCTGAGATTTATGTCTTCGTAGTCAGTAACACCCATTTTCACTAACCTAGAACAAGACATAGCTTAATTAGGAAACGCCTAATATTACGAATCGCCTAAATAGATTCGTTTAATTTGAAATAAATATTTTTTTTCTTTTATCCCTTAACATATTTATGACCTGTCATAAATATGTTAAGAACGAATGTCATAAATTTAGACATTGCTTAATTTCGTTAGGTGGTTCTTAGTCAATGGTGAAATGCATTTTTACCTTAGGCGATTCCTAAATATATTTCTACAGATTTGGGCGACTCCTAAGTTTAGTGAAAACGGGCATTAGACAGTTTTAATTATCCTAAAAAGAGAATCGTGCGTAATTATTTAATTAGTCTAGCCTATTCCGCAAATCGACGGCTGGAGACCTTGTATTGAGAAGAAACAGGAAGATACTCAGCAAGGGTACCTTTTTTTAGCCTCACTCGCGTATGTAGATTCCCGTATGTTTCATGCAGAACCATACAAAGGCGGATTTAATGCTTTAGGTGATGTGGCAATTAAAATAAACGATAAAGGTAAGTACGTTATATACATACACGCACACGCACACATATATAAGGAAGATAATATATAGCTACATATATACTTCGTACATAAATACATATGATACATATTAATTTAAATACATACTTGAAGCTAAATAGAAATGAGCTAAAAAATCGCGCAATTTATTATTTTTTAATTATAAGTTTAGATAGTATAAAAAAACATACCATACAGAGCAGGGTACACCGTGCCTCTAACGTTTCTCACTGGGATTTCCATATTCTTTCCATTCAGGAAGAAATTTAACTCCACGTGGTCGTATGCCACACCAATGGTATCACCTTCGACTGGCATCACGGCTGCCGAAGTTGGAGCATCGCTTTCCTTCATTTCCACTTCCTTATGATCGGGTGAATTTGTCGACACAAGGAGATCGGCTGTAGGCGAGTCTCTAGGAGCTGCTGACAGGTGGTACAACTCTTCATTGGCATGCCTCACTGTACCGTCACTGTTCAGACACCATGAATCTTTATCTACGCCTCCTGTAAACAAATGACGTGTGAAATTAATAAGGTGTTTTGGTGTAATTTCTAGAGATGTTATACATCAGATAACTAAAGTAAACAATGTAACTAAAGCACTGATATTAAGTAAATCTGAAAAAAAAATTTTTTTATATTGACACAACAAGGTATCGACCCAATATCACCAGATAAGGCTACACTTTAAACCGGAGTAAAAGCCAATCGGAGGTCGTATACTAATAGTCGACTATATGGACTCTTTGCTGGAGTACGAACTAATTTTTACTCCTACTAATAATATAAATACGAAAGTTTACGAGGATGTATGCTTGTTACTTTTTCACGTAAAAACTACTGAACGGATTTTGATAAAATTTCGTATATCAATTTCCTAGGGATTGATAAATATAGTCAAGTTATCGTGTAAACAACGCGGACGAACGACACCGCTGTTTTTGTTATAAAAACGAAACTGTTTCGAAAAACTGTCTAGAATAAGAAATAACGACTATACTCCATTCATTATAACATTAGAAAAAAGAGGGTCATAGAAGCAGCAGTTCAGAACATTTTATTTTCAAGATATTTTAAAAACTATATATTAGTTTTGTTAAAAACTTTGAAAATTAGGCAGTCTGAAAGAGCTGGGCAATTTTCCATTTTTTACGATACCTCGGGGTTGAGATGAGGCCAGCATTTTATAGATTCATCTTTTACTCCCAAGCCAAAATGGAACTAAAACTGAAACTATCTTTCTGTTGTTTTGATAAATTCTAATTGTAAGTGTAATTAGTTAGACTTTTGATGAAGACCGACAATTACAAAACAACAAGAAAGGCAGTAGCATTCACAATGAATGACAATCCCAGATTACATATTTTGACTATTATGAATAAATCATAATCTGACAAAATTAAAAAGCTGTACTGCCGAAATGTTTGAAGGGATTAGGCAACGTTTTAAATTTGGTAGAGTTATAGTGACATGAGAATCATGCCGAAACTATCTAACCCTGCTTCTTTAGGTTCTTTAAGATGAACACTTGTTATTTTAATAATTATTAAATGTTTTCAGTCAGTCATATACTCATAAATTTATTTAATATATAGCTTAAAAGACTACGGTTAAGTATAGCAGCTGGTATTTAAGTGGATATGTAGCAAATTAGCCGTTAGTCTTAAGAGTAACATGATTGTTAACATTTTGTCACAAAGTATACCATAAAAAGAACCTTATTTTCATTCTGTCTAATGCTATAATGAGTGGAGTATAGGTAAAAAAAATGTATTTAGTCCGTCAGTCAGATAACCGAAAAATATTAGATACTTCTTTTTTTTCAATTTAAACAAGTAATTTGAGGAATGGGGACTCACTACGTCAAAATTTTATAGAAAAAGCGTGACGTCATGCGACATTTCAGCTTAATATATCGCGTAAATTATTGATTGCACAAAAAAATAAATAATATGTGTTTAATTAACCTAACTAACCTACCTGACGTACAAACAAACACAAATTAGTGAATATCCCTATTCGCAGAGAAATCGGTGAACATACCAGTTGAACATAGAATATCCCCTTTTTTAAATTGGTAAGAATATGTATAGTTAGTTGTGTGTATTTAAAAATATTGCAAGTCTAGTCAAACAAGGCTAAACAAATTTTAATACAGTTTATTATTTAATATTCACTTTGAGTTTGAACTGAACGTGACGTGTGTGTACAAATATGAATCATATTTAATTATGTAATTGCAGTTCTGTTAGGCTAACATACTCAAAGTTTCTTCATAACAATGCATTTGTGTTACCTTCGGAAAATACAATTTGTCATAGTTGTGAAGGATTTCTCTGACCCTGACATTATTAGGACATCCATGACTAATTTTAATGAACATTATTGCTTAAAATAATATCTATGTCAATATATCTTTTAATATAAAAAAAAATAACGTCATAAGGCGTTTATGAAAAAAAAATATATTATTCGGTTTTAGTCAGGAAAATATAATTATTGTCCTCAATTACTATCCTTATTTCTTAATTTAAATTCTTAACTTAAATTCGAAATACTCAAAGGCAATGCTATTTGTTAGAAAGAAGTCTATGATTATTGGTATCGCTGTTACAAAAATTAACATCAATGCAGTTGCATCAATATATTATGTAGCAAAATAAACAACAGATTAATTTTGATGTTTTTTAAGCTTGTAAATATTTGATCATTTGGTCAACTAAATACTTATTTAAAAAAAAGATTGCAATTTAAGGAAAAGAAAAGTTAACTGATTGATCTTGTGACAACTACGACTATAAATTTTGACATATATATAGTCATAGTTGTCAGATATAACTTATTTTTGTTACTAAACTTTAGTTTTTTGGCCACAGGTATTTTATTTTGTTATATAACAATACAAAATACAATATAAAAAAAATCCATATTCCATATTGGACAAAGATGCCAAGAAAGATATATTTACTAATACTATAAAGAGAATATATTGCACCCACGCTGGTAATACCTGTTAACTATAAATTTTTACATAAATGAGATTTCGATGGAACATCTCAAGATACATCTACAGGTTTTTTTTTTTAATTTAATATTGCTATTTGCGATCGGTCGCAAGACCATAAGCGAATTTGTTGATGTAGATGGAGATTGGTTTAGTGAAGTGGTCAACACCGCTTCTACTAATTAAGTATGTGGTCTCTTTTCAACCTCTTCACCACTTTCGATGGGTCCAACAACTCTGCTATAAGAGGATTTGGGTGATTTTTTAGACGATCCTTGTGTCTTTTTCGATACAATTCGATTTCAGCGGCCACTGTTGGCATGTTCAAATATGCATGGATTTCATCGTTCTTGGTAAACCAGGGAGCATTTACAATATCCCTCAGTATGCTGTTTTGTACTCGTTGGAGACATAGGACATTCGACTTGCAAGCCACACTCCATATTTGAATCCCATATGTCCAGATCGGTTTTAAAACTGAATTATATATCAGCAGCTTGTTGTCGACGGACAGTACTGAGTTCCTTCCCATCAGCCAGAGTAAGCTTCGATACTTTGTGTTAATTTCGTTCCTTTTATTCTTTATGTGATTCTTCCAGGTCAAACGTCGGTCAAGGTGGAATCCTAAGTATTTCACGTTGTCAGAATGTGGTAGGATATCATTTCCAAGTTTGACTGGGGCGCAATTGCCTTTCCTCAAAGCGAATGTGACATGTTGAGACTTACTAGCACTTGCGCGCATCCGCCATTTAGAAAGCCACCTATGTGTCGCATCAAGCTGCTTTTGCAAGTTATAGCTGGCTACCCCAGGGTCAGTGTCGGTTGATAAGAAGGCAGTGTCGTCAGCGTAGGTTGCAACAGTGATGTTATTCAATACCGGTAGGTCATGGGTAAATATAGTATATAGTACTGGTCCAAGGACCGACCCTTGAGGAACACCAGCCTCGATTTTGTAAAGGCTTGACCTAGCTTCGCCTTGTTTGACCTGATATGAGCGCCCTGTTATGTACGATTTAATGAGAAGGAACATTGAGTGTGGCAAGTTATTCTTTACTTTGGCCAAGAGTCCCTTGTGCCAAACTCTATCAAAAGCCTGCTGTACGTCCAGAAAAGCCGCCGAGCAATAAAGCTTATTTTCGAAACCTTGTCGTATAGTGTGATAAATTCTGTGGACTTGTTCGACCGTTGAGTGTGCCTTTCTGAAGCCAAACTGATGAACTGGAGTAACACTACATTCATTCATGGCCGGTAGAAGTCGCGAAAGGAATGTTCTTTCCCAAAGTTTTGAGAGCACAGGCGTCAAACTTATAGGCCTATATGACGACGTTTCATGTTCAGGCTTTCCTACTTTGTGTATCATCACTACTTGTGATACCTTCCAGAGTGATGGAAAGTGGGATGTTCTTAAGATGGCATTAAATAAACAAGTAAGGAAAGTGACAGCTTTTTTGGGTAGCTGTTTAAGTATCGTTGGCGTTATAAGATCAAAACCTGGAGCTTTTTTAGCGTCAAGGTTTCTTATCTCTCGTGCTACCTCTCTCGGCGATACTGGCTTGATTGGTAGGTGCATCTGTAGGTCTCTACTCAGGACTTCGTCTACTTCTGTTTCATCCGATAGCTGCTCATTGGGTTTGAACACTCTAGACAAGTAATCTGCAAATGTCTCAGCTTTTTCCAGGTCTGTTCTTGCCCATAAAGTCGTCGTTAAAGGGGATTTTATAGGAGGACATGGAAGTTGAGGTCTCTCTAAGTTTGAAGCAGCTTTCCAAAGTGAATGCTGACTGCAGCCTGTCGGTGATAATCTACAAATGTTTTCGGTGATGGTTTTGTTTAATTCTTTAGCAGCTTTGTTGAGGATTGAGAAATAAGTGCCAGTTTCTTCTGAGACGTCTTTTCTTCATAATCAATTGCTTTATGTCAGATGAAGAAGCAGAACTTTTCAAGTTAAAATTTTTCTGTGACGTATTAGCCCAGGCAGCCACTTGAATGAGGTTGGTTATGTATTTACATGCCTCTTCGACCTCGTCTGTATCTTTTAGCGATATCTTAAGATTCAGGTTTTCGTCAAGATAGTTTTTAAAGCTTTCCCAATCTGTTTGGTGGTTGGTAAGAAATTCTGGCTTCTCTGGAAAAATCACATTTGTACTTAGCGTTAGAATTGCCGGTGTGTGATCTGAAGACCCGTCCAAACAAGTCTCTGTATTTGTGTGCGAGCTAGCTACACCGTGGGTCACAAAGAATTCCAAGAGGTCAGGCAATTTTCTAGGATCGCTAGGCCAATATGTTGGTTCACCTGTGGAAAGTATTTTTAGGTGCTTATTGTCTGCGCAGCGTTTGAGTTCGCGCCCTCTTGTAGTCACAACACGAGAGCCCCAGAAATGGTGCTTTGCGTTCCAGTCTCCGCCGACTATGAATCTGTGGCCCAAAGTTTGGAAATAAGCCGCAAACATATCAGCAGTAATTTTAGGCCTTGGGGGACGTTTTTTACCATGAGTGTGATATGGTTTTGTTTGTTTGTTCATTTGCATTGAATAGGTTCCTGGAGTGATTAAAAATTTCTTTCACCTACAGTAAGCTACATCAGGAACGTCTGACATCGGCTTTACTTTACACAGGTGTAGCCACAGAAAAACAGCTAGTCATAGATCATTTTATTGATACTTGGGTTTACGCAACCATTCAAATTGATTTGAAGCAAAAATTTACCCCAAAAAGTCACTTGTAAGCGTTTGGTGGACTAGTACCGGTGTCGTTCATTACAGATTTCTCAAATCTGGCAAGACGATTACGGCAGACGTCTATTGTCAGCAATTGCAAACCAAGGCTGGTCCATTGCTCTTCGCCACTGCTACTTCACGACAACGCTAGGCCACAAACTGCACAACAAATGACTACCAAATTAGAAGAGCTTCAATTGGAATGTCTAAGATACCCACCATACTCCCCGGACCTTGCTCCAACAGATTACCATTTTTTCGATATTTCGATAACATCTTGTAAGGGAAAAAATTCAAAACCGATGTGGCAGTGCAAATCGCCTTCAAAGATTTTATTGATTCCCATCCGAATGTTTTTTTTCCAGTAAGGGGATCAATGAACTACAAATGAGATGGCAAAAGTGCATTGATAACAATGGATTATACTTTGATTATATAAATATACTAGCTTTTGCCCGCGACTTCGTTCGCGTGGTAAAGTTATTTTCGAGCAGCATTTCTAACGAATATTTATGTACTGATAGATTCAAACTAATACATTTACATCCTCCATCACCTCTTATTTTATCCCCATGGGGGGGTTGAATTTATCAAAATCCTATTTAAGCAGACGTCTTCATCATAGTCGCTCCCATCTTTAATTTCAGTTCAATCAGTCGAAAATCTAAGAAGATTTATACAAACTTTCATCCCCTACTTTATCCCCTTAGGGGTGGAAAATAACAAAATCCTTTCTTAGGGGATGCATACGTCATAGTAGCTTCATGCATGCATTCTCAGCCCGATCAATTTAAAATAGACAAAGTTTCATACAAACTTTCATCTCCTATTTTATCCCCTTGGGGGTAGAATTATCAATATCCTTTCTTAGCAGCTGCCTACGTCATAACATCTACCTGTATGCCAAATTTCAGCCCGATCCGTCCAGTGGTTTGGGCTGTGCATTGATTGATAATAATCTAAATATATATAACTCAAAGGTGACTGACTGACATAGTGATCTAAGGATCCAATAATTACATTTTTAATAATTTTTTATCAATTAAAAAGTAATTGATCATTTATTTAAAAAGTGTTTTAAACACCATTTGCCTTTAAATTGTAATTGTCTAATTAGAAATCTATAATAAATATCATTATCAATTTAAGAAATTCTAGATAAGGATTCCATACATTTAGCAAAGTGTTTAAAAACGTATTAATATTGGCAAATAGAGAAATGGGAATACTTAAATAAAATAAAAAATATATATAAGACAAAATCACTTATATTGACCCAACTAGGAATCAAACCTGAAACCTCATAGATTTTATGTCATAATATTATTATATGTCTTTTTAACAGGGGTCGGAAACCGGTAAATTTTTCGAAACGTTTTCATCTTAAATACCTAAAAAACACTTTGTTTCGGTTTCGTTCGAACAGAACGATATAAAAAACGATTTTGGAAAAAAACAGAATTATATTGTTTTCGGTTAATAAAACGTTTTTAACCATTTATTTTGCGTTTTTTTGCATCGCATACTGTAAATAACGTAATAAAATAAATGTACGCCGCCCTTACAGCCCGCGCGGCACCGTCTTGCGGATTAAACCGGTTTTTTAAAGCATTCTCATTTCGTTTTCGTTTCGAACGCAATCTTGCCCAAAGAACCATAAGAAACGTTTTAAAAACGTTATTTTGAATAACGTTTCCGAGCCCTGCTTTTTAACACCATAAAAGCTTTTTTTTCAGTTTTTGGTACCATAAAAACTTTTTATTGAAAAAATCAGTTATCTTTAAATACATTACCGTGTACACGATTGACATCAGTCTCTCTTGTAGCGAGGCCCACTGCCCAAACTCCACCTTGTTGCAACTTGACTTCAAAGTAGGCTTTATTTTGCACAACGGGAGCATTGCCTAATGCACAGCCTGATCCACATACTCTCTGGCCACCTTTCACCACTACAACTTCATGTCCTGGAAAATTATTAAATATGCCTTCTATTCATTTCCATTCAAATAACTCTATAGTAACTGCAGAATGTAATGATGCCAAAAAGATTATAACCTTTAAAATTGCTTTCAGTTTTACTATACTATAGACATTATATTAAATATCTGGATCAAATTATTGTATGTTATGAATACATATATGAGTATATTTTACAATACACTAAGTGCTTTGGAATATGCCCAGCAGTGAACATTGTTCAGCTGACATGCAAGAGTAGATCCAGCATTGTCAACAGGAGGGGATTACATAGTCGTGGTCTACTCACAAGACAATCAGATAATAATAGATACAGAGTATTATATAAAAATAATTGAAATTTTAAACTACTTAGATAAAATTTATATTGGGACAAAAAAATATTATAAAATACTATGTTTAACAATTTTAATTACTAGTCCACCTAGATCCTGGACCCAGCCCAGGGGAGGGTCATGACTAACCCCTTAGATCAGCCCTTGCTGACATGATAATGATGAAGTGCTTTTAGTGAAAGTGACTTTTCATATATTCTAACGCATCTTCACAATAAGGACAGCTATTATATTTGATCATTTTAACAATGCATTATTAATATCTTAATAAAATATTTACGAGACCCGAGATGGATGAGATTAAGATACGGACAACAACTGAAAATCTACAAACAAATAATCTCTAACATACAACAAGGAAAATATACATGTTGCAAATCAAACTATTTATGGAATATAAAAACAAGACGATGTTATCAAAGCGTGCTTACAATGGAGATGTCAAATAAATAAGGATTTGAAAATAATTTAATTCACTATTGTAAATATCTAATGAAATATTAAACCAGATGTAGATGTAAAGTAACATAGCAGTCATACCCATATGCAGAGTGTCTAATTGAACAGGATTTTCTTTGACACGTACAGGTACGCTCGGCGTAAGACTGAATCCATTTAAACAACTTTTCAAACAACAAAACATGATTATACTTAATTCTTGTTTTAGAAATCACAACAAGATTATTTTCAATTTGATTAATGTTTTTGTATTTTTAACAACATCATTTTCATTCATAATTTGATTGAATGAATGAATGACATTTGCTGTTTACGAATGACACTTTGACAGTGACATATGAATGGAGTGTGAAGTTTAAAGTGCTTGTTTATGGTCTTCCAGTGATGCAACAGCAAACGTTTATAATCTATTTTACGGTTAATACCGTTTTTTTTTAATTTAAAAATTTAACAATAAAAGATTGAAAAAAACATAAGATATCTACATCTAAAATTATGTACAATTTCATCTAAAATAATGGTCATTGTTAGAAAGGAACATTTTTGTCATAAATTGAAGACGCACAGTGTTTAAGACCATTTTTTGTGAAATCCAAATCATTCTTGAATTTTATTTAACTAATCTCCCATAGAAAACATCCAATTAATTAGTAAAACTCTCATTATTTTCACATTGATATATTCCTAGACAGAGGAGCTCGATGCTGCAGTGGTTACTGCGTTAATTCTGCGATATGGTTGTTATGTAAGCTACATCGGTCGCAAGGATCGGTCTTATGATGAGTCATTAAAAACATATTCCGTACTTCGAAAAGCACGTTAAGCTGTTGGTCAGTGGCGTTACTACAGGGTGACAAGTCGGCAAATTGTCACGGACCCCCAGCTAGAAGGGGCCCCGTTCAGAGGAGATTTAAGTATTCCTGACATTTATTATTACGCAATTAGTAAAAAAAAAAAATCCGATGAATTTGCCACGAGCCTCAAACGATATAGTTACGCCACTGCTGTTGGTCCCGGCTACATCTACAGTCGTTAACACCCACCAATTCGCATTGGGCCCTCATTGTGGACAGGGGCGTCTTAAGCGTATTCGGCGCCCGGGTTTGAAAGCCAACCATACGGCCACGTTTTCAAAAATTTTGTGAAAATCACAAAACAAAATTTTGAAAACAAAATCACATCAATAAGCATTTTTTGTCATGTCTCTGGCATTTGTTATGTTTGCAAGTTTCACGTTTTGTGTTGTTTTGTTTATCTAACATTATTTACTTATTGTAACATAAAACCTATTATCATAATTAATATTATACTCGTTTATTAATTTTAAAACCAGTCATTAAGAACATGCACATTACCTACATTTTTATTTTAACTATGATATTATACTCATTTTTTAATTTTAACACCAGTCATTTACATACACATTACATTTTTATTTCAACTTTTCTAGATTTTATGGTTGCAAACTTTTCAATGATTTCAGCTGCTTGAATGTCTACATCTCTTTCTATACTTATAACTGCCAAGTTTGTTAGTCTTTCTTGGGTCATTGTTGATTGGAGATAAGTTTTTATTAATTTTAGTTTTAAAAAAGATCTTTTGCCTTCAGCTACTGTCACCGTAAGATTTGGAAAAATGGACATTAAATTATTTGATCAAATATACTTTAAAACATCCAGAAGAGTTGTGTCTTCATTTATAAAAAATATTGGCAATAATTCCAACTCATGGAATAGATCTTCCCCATCTATGTCAGAACTCAGTCCTGAAGTTAGTTTCTGCTGTAAGTGGAAACATCTTGCTTTTCTTTGTTCAATATTTGACTCTCTCGTTGAGCCAGAAATGTAGTACCAAATGACGACTGAACAAATGAATTTGAAATTCTTTATTTTGGACATAAAAGAACGGGTCGTATTTTTAGTATCATTGTCATACTTATCCGTCGAAAATATGAAAAACCGTATATTTCTCCAAGTTAAAACGGAGTACCTTTAGGGCGTCCAATCGACTTTCCCATCGCGTGTTTGACAGAGGTTTAATAATCAAAGTTGGTTTTTGGGACATAATCACATCCCAACGACCCGTTGAGCCAGAAAAAAAATGTAGATTTCCTGTACTATTAAGAAAAAATTGGTAATCTCTAGAGAACTTTTAGCTGCGTCGTTTACCACAAGGTTAAGACTATGGACAGCACAAGGAACGTAAAATGCGCGAAGATTCATATCTAGAATTTTTCTTTGGAGACCTATATTGTTTAATATTATTACTTAAATAAATAATTTCAAAAGATACCGCGTGACCAATAGCATTGTTTTAAGTGTGATCTTATTACCTGATTGGCGTGGTGCGGCGGCGCGCGTTAGAGACAAACACTTTCTTTGAATTTGACCGACTCTATAAGTACTTATGTACATACATATATCGTAAATTTATAGCCATAATTGGTTTGGTAAGGTTAGTTAGGAAGGTAAGAAAGTACTGTACGCACTATCACCTAGATCAGCCACACTCTCGAGCGCCCGGCTAGCGCCCTCTAGGCCCGGCGCCCGGGTGCGACTTGCCACTCGCTCCTATGGCTAAGACGCCCCTGATTGTGGACCATGGCCCTATCTCTCTATTTGATTCAATTCGATTTCATTCATCAGAAAGGCCTGTGCTTCAACAGTGGTTACAGCCAACAGCACGGTAAAATCTACAAATCTGCCAAATTTTCCCCACTTGATTTTAAACTTTAAAATTTAAAGAGTTTGAAATTAATTAGAAAAAACGTATCGTAGTAACCTGACGTGCAACCGTTTGTATATTAATTATCAAATTGACAAAATTTCTTCGGGGTACTATGAAACACATTCCCGCATAATAAAAACCATATAAGGTTCAAAAGTGCAAGTTTGCATGTGCTGTTATCGTTGAAATTCTACCTAAAGATAGTCTGGGATGTTTTCTATGTACGTTTAGACGGAAAAAGACGCGAGACGCATCCCGTGTGCAGTGTCTCCAATATTTACGGAATACCGAAGATCGGGGAGATATAATAATCTAAGACTAAGTACCTTGACAATCATATTCCAAAGAGAATTTAAACACAACGTTTGAAGGTTTTACCATATTCCGTGACCGTCAAAATTAATGAAAAAAAGCGTCAAAACTATGCTTCCTAACAAAGCTGCGGCTTAACTATTGCCTCAGCACCGGCTCAATGAAACTTGGCACCCTAGACAAAACACTGGAACGACGCTCATAAAAAAATCTCAACAAATCTGAAAATTTTGTACTTTTAAATACTATATGTACATGACTGCATTTTTAAGGATCAATTATATAGCGCCAACATGCTCGGTTTGCTGTTCCATGCCACCCCCCAAGTACGTGCACCGTAGGCAGTTGGATAATTTGCCTATATAAACGAGCCTGCCCTCCATTGATTTGGCAAATAAGTGTTTTACAGATTAAGAACTCTAATTAAACATTCATTTATTGAGATAAATTTCGTTGTTTTCATTACCTCTAAAAACTACCCCATTATTAAACGTACGTACATAGGTAATTTAATTATTACTTATTTCCAAATGACAAACATATCCTAATAAATAAAAAAAAAACAAACATAAATTGAGCTTTTGAACTTCAGCCAGTTTAAAGTAGTTCTGTAGTGTACCTACATAGGTAAGTAGGTTGTTTAATTTGGTCAAACTACGAATACATGTGCAATATTTTTTAAGTTCCTATATTATGTGGTTTATTGTATTGATTAAAGGCCACCGATTAAACGAATCGTTGAATTAAACCGACTAGTTTAAAAATTACTTAAATGGAGTAGTTTATATTTATACTTAACTAAAAATGGATATTACATCTTCCATCATTAATATAGCTATTAAGAATTTACATCTACATTTAGCGAACGGACTTTAATGTAAGATTAGCCTGCCAACTGAGAGCTTTTATTGGCTGCATGTTAATTGATCAATCATAGTGTTTGATAAGAAGCCAATATTGATTCTTAAAATTAATTAGATTATGCAATAACCGCAAATTGCTGGTATGAATTCTTGCACGTATAATACATACGTGCTGTAAGTCAAGGTCAACAAAAACACCTTTTTTCAATTAAAAATCTGAATAAATATGATGTCACTACATTATACTTGATAAGGTATAGCTCCTTGACTTCGTGTGGAAGTCTGAAATTATTTTGTTTTCAACCTTTTTTGATTCAAGAAAAACGAAAATGCGCTTCAAACCTACTTACAATTCCTGCCACTTGACGAAACGGCAGAGGATGAGTGTGAGTGAGCAAACCATGAGCGTATCTAGAGATATTTTCCAGGGCCCTGTCCGTCAGTGCGAATCACCTTGTTTGCTTAGCACGGAAGTGAAAATTCTGGTGTGGTCTCTCTTCCCCTTGTCTCACATGTAAACACTAAATATTGTGGTGTCATCACCAGAATATTTATGACCAATTCCGACAGTTGATTTTGAACTATGAAATTAATTTTTGCCAGAACATATTAAACTGAACTAGTTACCATTACCAGAGTTGTTTTTGACCTTTACAAATCTTACTTTTTCTATAATCATGAAAGTGCAGATTAAAAAAAGTAAAGGAAGGGAAATAGCTGGAGGGCTCCTGGTAAGAATAAAGACAGTTAAAGTTCAGAATGTAGGTACTGTAGGTTGTTATGATATTTGTACCTAAAAGTACTTGTTCTTGATGATTCGTGTGTCGACCGAATAGGACAGAAATATTATTCTGAATATTTTTCGTTGCGTTGACTTTTTGGAGAACTATTCTATACTTAGTCGTGAACGAACGTTGTAGAATCAGAGTTGGCAATCCTGTGAAATCTTTAAATAAATAGAATACAGAAATGTTTGTTCGAAATACGGTACCAGAATGCAAATATCGAATAATTCGTCATGAAGTCACAACGCGTGATATGAATTTATCTAAGAAAGTGCCTGTATATAAAATCTATACTAGCTCATTGCATGATAAGCTAGATTTGATATCGCACATGAAATTAGTAAACATGCATTTTAGAATATAATTTTAAACATTTTAATTACACAAATACGCAAACAGCTCGCTTGATTTTTAATCACAGAAAAAAAAACTTTTGTATTATATATTTCAGATTACATCAAAACCTTTTATATATATATATATATATATTATATAGTTAAAGATTAAATAATCTTAATCGTAAAATCGGTCCGAAAAACCTATTCAGAGTCATTTTATGTTTCTGTTTTAGCAAACAATCGATGATATGTTTAATTTTCATAA